TAGTGAATAAAGGAAAAAAATGTCATTGGTGTCATCTTGAATTAGTTATTAAATTTAGTTAGTGTTAACTTATTCTTATTTTCTTAATTTAAACAAGATTTAGGTTTATAATTTTTAACGTTGTCTTATATTTTTCACATACAGGGAAAATGGCACATGGGGTGAATATAAAAAATGACACTCCAATATTTACCCAAAGCAGATGGCACACACGTGCCTCCATTGTGACAGTAGTTGGTACAGTGATTGACTTCACATCTTTCTCCAGAGTAGCTAGGCCAGCAATAGCACCGCGGGTCACTCTTCTCATTGAACAGGCATCGGCCACCGTTTTCACAAGTTAATTTGCATGAATCATCTGGTGATGACAAGAAATGTCCACATTAACATTTCATTCAGCGAATAATTGAGGAAGAGTAAGTCAAATAAATAAAAATATATAAATACTAGAACCTTACTTATTTATGTGACTTCCTAAAGTACTTACTCCTAAGAATGGTATACATGTAGAGACACAGGTTACAGATGTTGAATGGTAATGACAAATATTTAATAATATTTTATCTCTCTTTAGAACAAAAGGAGTATTAGTCACTTTGTACTTGTCAAACTGTTAAATGTCAATATTGATGGAAACAAAGATAAAGCTTTCTTAAATAAACTCTACCCAGCATGCAAATATCTTTATGATATGGGCAAGTATGGTCTCTTTTTAAGAGGCAATGATTTTAATTGATACTGAAATAAGTAAGACCTATTTATAACATGTGAGTTGCATTTGTAGGGGCCCTGGTGGTGAAGTGGTTATGTGTTGGGCTGTGATCCACTTGGTTGGCAGTTCAAATCTACCAGTAGCTCCTGGGGAAGAAAGACAGGATTTATACTCCCATAAATAGTTATAGTCTCAGATATTCACAGCGGATAACTATGAGTCAACATTGACTCATTGACAGGTTTTTTTTTTCTGGTTAAATTGTATTTATAATAAAGAAAATTATAAGATCTACTCTTGGACGATAGTCCTTATAAACAACATATAGACCTTTCAGACTAAAAGTCATTTAGACTTGGTAGAATATAGTGATAGAGCAGTGTCAGAAATATTTCTACAGCTAACATTTGTAATAAATGATCCGGCATGACCTGACTGCTTAATGACATTTTATTTGAGAATAAGTAAGGAATAATAGAAATGCTGAGACAATAATAACATAGCTCTCAGAAGGTCAGAAAAGATCCTTGGATTTACTGCCAAAATAAGGGTCAGGCAAAGACTATACCAGCAGGGGACATGTGCCACTGAAAGCCAAGGTGCTGTTCATGCTCTCTGTAAATGATTCAGACTACAGAAGATACATACAGAAGACTGCAATAGAATATTGTAAAAGGTAACTTGGAGGTAAAACTCATACTGCTGTATGGAAAAGGGAGAAAATGTCACATCATTCTTGATTTTCTGATGCTAACAACAAAGTGGGGAGCCAGGGCAATAGGAACTGGAGAGGTGACTTAGTTGTGGACATACTGAAATGGAGATACTTAGGCAAACACAAGTGGAAATCCCCAGGTTAACAATTGAGTATAGAGGTTAGAATCTCGAGAAAAATCTAGAGTTATAATATGCAAGCATAATTTAAAACTCAGCAGTAGTTCTAACTCATTCAGTCGGGAAAGGTTTTTATAGATGCTGTGAATGTGAATAGAAAAAAGCAGATTTTATGAACATAATTAGAATTACTAAGAAAGGACTCATCCCAGTCTGTAGTGATACTATATACATTATAAAACCCATAGCTATTCAGAACGCTTACATGTCCGAGCATGTGAATTTCTATATTATGTCTCATTAGGCATCAGGAATTTAAAAGTACAACACAGCCTGATGAACAGAAAGTGGAGTTACAGCTTTCTAAAAACTATGGTGATTGTTACATAATGAAAGAGCAGGCTGCTCTTTTCAAAAACTTAAATCACCTCCCAGTAGCCAAGCTTCAGCAATTATAATCAACTATAGGAAAGAGCAGGTGAACACTTTCCCAGGAATGAGTAACATTTGAATTTCAAATTTCATACATGAAGATTAAAAATATTCAGTGTGCTTATCATTTTTAACAATGGCAGCTAGAAAAAGTCAAGTAATTATAAAGAGCTAAAAAAGCTGGCTATATCAAATGTTAATATCAGGAAAAATGAATTGACTTTTATCTATGTCAATTAATAATTTTAAACCCATCTATTTATATTCCTAACTGAAAATACCCAAGGGTCATGTATGTAGAGGTGAATGTGTGTGTTTCGTTATCCTGCTTAGTTAAATTTAAGGTTCTCTTGTAAATGATGAAATTGAACTCTGAGGAAGCTTCAAGCAGGCTTGAAATAGTAAAACTGAAATCACTAAATAGTTTAGTACCTGGAAAAATGGTTGCCTTTAGATTGTCAAGCTACTTTATTTTAAGCATAAAACTACAAAATTTGGAGACCGAATGAAGCAAATAACTTATTTTAGAAGTCCTATGACAACTTGCTGTAGAGTACCAGTACTGTGGAGTACCAGTTCTGTAGAGTACCAGTACCAGTACTGACTAAGCAACCTCGCACAAGTAAATTAGCCTTTCCCTGCTTTTGTTTTCTTATCCATTAAAGTAGGTGTGGAGCCAATACATTGTCAATGATTTCTTGAAAGGATTGCATGAGAAATACAAGACACTTAGAAGTATATTTTGCTGATAATCCCTCAAATTATTTTATTACTTAGCATGTATCAGCATTTGAAATGGCATTTCATTTTTCAAAAATTGTTTTCTCTAATCTCTAGCTTCTAAGTTCCAAACTCTATGAATGAAAGTGAAAGTGAAGGAATCTAAATTAGGATTTATTATCCAGATATTCAATATAACCTTGTTGAAGGAGTAAATAGATTTTTGTGTTTGGCTTAAACCAATAGCAAAATGGCATCCACCCACATGTTGGGCTGCTAATCACAGGCCAGGGGTTCAAACTGCCAGTGGCTCTGTGGGATAAAGATGAGGCTTTCTACTCCTGAAAAAGAATTATAGTCTTAGAAACCCACCCCATCCTATAAGGCTGATATGACTCAGCATGGGCCTTAAGGCAGGGTGTTTAATTTTGGGGGGGGGGTTCCTGATGCAATATATTAAAGTATCTTCTGTTACATGCATGATATAAAAATCTTAAATATATTGTTAAATGCATTTTAAGTGCTCAATATTGCTTTATGAAAATTACAGAATTGTCTTCAACTACAAGTGAAGAAATAAACACAAGCATTCAAGAGCTATTGATACTAAGTCACTTACACGACTGTGTATGTAAATTTGCTCAGTTTCAAATGCTGTGATAAGTTATCAAAAACAATTTATTTCCAAAATAGTGACATATACCTACCTAGCTCACTGTCATCAGTACAGGTCCCATTAATCAAATATTTTCCTTCAGGGCACACACAGCTGGCCCCAGAAGGATTCAGCAAACAGAGGAATTCACATGCTAAATCCAAACATGGATTAGGTACTGATTAAAACAAACAAAAGAAAACAAATAATATGCATCAGTATCAAAACAACAGATACCAAATATAAAATTGAACAAGTGAAAGGATGATTCAGCAATGTTGAAAAGGAAGCATATGGAATTTCTACTGGGCGTATGTACAGTAATGTTACTTTATTCCATGAGCAGAGCTCTGGTAGGTAGTCGCAAGTTAGGAGGCGGGCTGCTAAGCGCAAGATCAACAGTTTGAAATCATCAGCCACTCTGCAGGGGAAAGAAGAGGCTTTCCGCCCTGGTACCGATTTTCAGCCTCAGAACCCATAGGGGCAGGCGGCCTTTGTCCCTATGGACTCCACGGCAGTGAGCATACACCGTTAGAGGCTGAGATAAGTTATCTCCTCATCCTCATCAGTCTTACTTTACACTTCATATAGCAGATAATAAAGTACTCAAGTCTTCACTTTGTCCATCTTCCATGCAACGAATATTTCATTGGCAAGAACACTGGTCTGAGTTTCCAAAGTGCAGCCTAGGTTGCAATTAGCAGTAGAGTTCATGCAGATCCTGGACAATCCTACTCACATCTGTTTGCTTATTTGTTTGTTTGTTTATGACAGTGTTCTAAAATCAGCCCCCTCTGCTGTTTAAAAATGATCCAATGGACACCCACCTATCAATTCAAACAAACAAAGCACAATGCTGGAGAAGGGCTTTGGAGGGTCTAGGGAGTTATTTCACTGGTGTGCATGTCAGGTGAAATGGTAGAAAGGAAAGTTCTAGAAAAACATTCAGTTTGATTGGTTTCACATGTAAAAGTTTTAAATTAAGTCATTCAACTTTGATGGAAGCATATTGACCTTTACCAAATCAGACCCAGTGGAATTTTTTTTTAAAGCCATTAAGTTGAAAGTAATGGCATTAGTACATTGGATCATTGAGACAGAGCAGCAAACATTCAGATAGAATTTGGGAATGAGCTTATGGAACACATTTTGTTTTAATCACTTTTGATAATAAATTTTAATAAATATCACCTGTTATTTTATTATGTTATTGCATAAATTAGGCAAACTCTCTTTTTATATACCATAAGGATGACCATAAGAACTCCTGATCAATATCAACTCATCAGCCTTCCTCAGGAGGCAGAGACATATAGACAATAGGGACATAGCCTTGGAACCTGGGTAGGGTTGAACTGAACTTGACAGTAGTGGGTTGGGTTTTAGTTTGGGTTCTGATTTCATGGTGCTGTTGGATAAACGTTGGGCTGCTGGCCAGTGTTGATGCTGAAAAGCCACCACCTGCCCCATGAAAGAAACAACTTGTCTACTCCTTAAAAGTCAGTGTGGGAGACCTACTGTCTGTGAGTTGGAATTGACTCTCTGTTTTGTTTTTGTTTTATTTTGTATAATTAAATTTCAAAGTGTTTCTTCAAGGGCTAGCTTAGATTCAATGAGATTAGGATTTCAGCCCCTCTCCCTTGTTTCTTTCTGTCTTTTTGTTTTTTAATTTGCACATGAATTTTTTTGATGGTGGTAAATATATATTTCAAGAATGTACCTTTGACATTTTACCTATTGTTTTATATAATGGTAAGCCACAACAATACGTAGATTTAAAAAATAGATCAGAGAAAGAACAACTCTTAAAAAATTCTCTGTGTACATGTTAATGTTACAACAGGTATTTTGTTCTCAGTACCAAGAGCAAAAGTGGTAAAGACTATTTTCCTTGTTTCTTGCATTGTAGAAATTCACAATAGTATTTTATATGTGTATACTGGAATTTACATATACATAACTCTAAGGTACATAGCCAAATTTCTGTAATTATAATGGCAGAATTAAAATTTTTGCATCATCTAAACCTTGATTTTGATAAATTACAAGGTTTGGTGAGATTAAATTTGAAGCTTAACTTACTGGGGTTAAGATGCTGAAGTATTTAAGCTATTTCTAAAATGTTATTTTGAAAGTTTTAAGGAATAAAATTTACATGTAGCTATAACTTTATAAAATACTATATACTTACAGTTTACTTGTTTATAGCGATGAGATATCAAAGCCCCTTTTGTTTTATCAACATCTAAAGCAAGGTATTCTACTGAACCACGACCAAATTTCTGTACTCGAAATACACCATTTTTAGGGCCTGCTCCATAGATATAATCTTCAAAGACATCAATTCTATGTGGATGGAATAAGCCTAGAATTTCAAAAGGAGGTATTATAAAAGTTACAGTATATATACGTTAGATTTAAGAAAACTATCTAAGTTTAACCAAGAAAATACAGAATTTTTTAAATTTTTCTTTTAATTTAAAAAAGGAACTTCAGAATTAGTGTCTTTTAAAAAATATTAGCTGTAAAATTGTTTGAAGTAATTTATTCATAATAGATATATGTGCGGTATTGAGTATCTCACTCAGAACATTCCAAATGAACCCATCATCAATGTAATCATCATCATCATTATGAAGTATTGATAGCGGATTATTATATACAGAATAATATTTTCTGCTGCATAGTTTAGAAACAACAAACAATAAAAAACCTATGAACCAATCGCAACAGGCACAGAAGAACAAAACAAAAGAGTTTACAAACTCTGTTTGCATTCTGGATTGAATTGACATTTAAATTGCATTACCTGCCTGAGAGATTTCTGAAGTAATCAAGAATTGGTCTTAAAAAATAAATCCTATAAAATATTTGTCAATATTATTGTCTTTTTTCAAAATGTAAAAAGAAAGCAAACTGGCCGATGGCAATTATACCTCTGACTAATGTGACTTAAAAAATAGTGATCATAATTTATCATATTCCATGATTATTTTCAAGAGATTACAAAGGAGCAAAATAATCATTTGTATTAAAATATATAACAAAAATGAAATTATATTTTAATAATTATCTACAAATTACAAAATATAAAATACCTTTTAAGTTTATAGATTGTTCATCAAAGTTTCTTAATAGGAAAATGTACACTTAAGCTGAAACAGGTCAACTATAATTACTGACACGAGTTTGGAATTACTGTTCTCAAGGATTATTGATACTCTATAACACACTTTAGACAAAGCACAATGAACAGTTCAATTTCATCATTTTCTTTCCACTTCTGTGCTTTTGTGAAAAATTGGAGTTATATTCAATACATAGAGCATAAATATAAAGACTTCAAGAACACATTTTTAAACAATCTGCTGTAAATATTAGAAGGGAGGGCAAAGAACAAGAAGTATAAAAACAGGATTCATTAGAAAGAACTGAGTCAGGCAACCAGCTTGTGAAAGGAGTCAGGCAATAAGAGAGGAAAACATAATCCAATAGGAGGCAGATGTGCAGAGATAGCAAGGGTGCCGAAAAAAGAGGACAGGTATATTCGGAGGTTACTAGTGGTGTAAATTGCGCTTTTCACATGTGGCAATGTGGCAGGGCATCCCTAAAATCCCTATCAGAATAATGTCCTATGGCACCACTGCAACTTGAAATAAAAATCCGTTTCGACAGGCATTAATCATTACTACATGAGTGGTCTTCTCTGAAGGAAAGAGCCACAGAAGCAACGGAATAAAGTTACTTTTATCAACCTTGGGAACAATGGACCATATTCATCCTAAAGGACTTCCTTCCATTCTGGCCTCTTTTCCACTTAGACTGGAAATTTTAATCCAAAGTAAGATCTTCAAATTGACAGGCAAATTTTGAGAAATCCAGAAAAAGGTTTTGTGTTTATAAAGCTCCCATACATGTTTTTGTTATATCATTTAACACTCCAATAATATTTGAAAACAAAAACGCTGCACAAACCTTGCTTGCTGCTGACAGAGACAACTGAATCAGAGCCATCGTACAGCACACTGCCAATGAGAGAAAGCTCAAAATCAGCCCAGTAGATGCGATCACTAAACTGATCCACTGTCAGACCTGCAAAATCAACATGCATGGACAAGCATGAAAATCAATTCTTTCACAGAAATGTGTGTTCAGAGTTCATAGACTTTTTTAGCATAGAGAAAAAGAAGCTGTACTCATTTTCTTCCCAACATACTCTGCTTTTTTTTTTAAAACATTTTATTAGGGGCTCATACAACTGTTATCGCAATCCATACACACATCAATAGTGTAAAGCACATTTGGACATCATTCTCAAAACATTTTCTCTCTACTTAAACCCCCGACATTAGGTCCTCATTTTTCCCCTCCCTCCCCATACCCCCTCCCTCATGAGCCCTTGATAGTTTATAAATTGGTATTTTGTCATATCTTGCTCTGTCCGAGGTCTCCCTTCCCCCACTTTTCGGTTGTCTGTCCCCCAGGGAGGAGGTCACATATAGTTCCTTGTAATCGGTTCCCTCTTTCCTACCCATTCTCCCTTTACCCTCCCTGTTTCGCCACTCACACCACTGGTCCTGGAGGGCTCATCCACCCTGGATTCCCTGGATTTTCAGTTCCTATCTGTACCAGTGTACATCCTCTAGTCTAGCCAGACTTGCAAGGTCGAATTCGAGTCATGGTAGTGGGAGTGGGGAGGAAACATTTAGGAACTAGAGGAAAGTTGTATTTCTCATCGTTGTTACATCGCACCCTGACTGGCTCATCTTATCGCTATTATTCTATCTAGTATCACTGGTAGCACATTGATTGAAGTACTAACCAAATCCTTGCAGGTGTGAGCGCATCCATTTGGGACAGAAAGGCGTGGCTGCTTCAATAAGCACAATTGTGGCTGTTGTTTCCAGGTGCCGGTGAGTCGATCCCCACTTACAATGACTCTAAACTGAAGGAAAGACGGCTGTGCCTTGCACCGTCCGCGCATTAATTTGCACGGTTTGAATGCATTATTGCAGCAACTGTGTCAGTCCCCCTGGTTTATGGTCTTCCTCTTTTTCCCCTGATGCTCTTTACCAGCAATGATGTCCTTTCCAGGGAGTGGTCCCTCTCGACAGCATGTCCACAGTACACGAGTCTCATACCATTCCCCCTTCTGACTTGAAGTGGCCTATCTCTTCGAAGACAGGGTTGTTTCTTCTACCGGCAGTCTCTTGTGTATTCAATGTTCTTTGCCAACCCCATACGTTGAACGCATCAATTCTCCTTTAGTCTTCCTTATTCGTGGTCAAGCTTTCACACACATGTGAAGTAACAGAAAATACCATCTGAGCACTTAAGTCTTCAAACTGCCATTTTCACTCTAACACTTTGTAGTTCCCATGCCCACCATGAACCAGCAAATCTGTTTCTTTCAATATGAAAATCTTTAACTTGATTTTTTACTTTTATAGTAGTGGTCTCATACCACAGTTGTCGTCATAGAATTGACTAACTTGTCTTAACATAATCTAACATCATCCAAATCCATGTCATGGGGTGTTCAGCAGTTTCATTTTTCTTCTCTTGTATGTCTGTACCAGTGTGCATTTGTCGATTCCTTCACCCATTGGCATTCAGGTTGTTTTCATTTTCTTACTATTGTGAACAGTGCTGTGATGAACGTCGGTCGCATACAGCTCTTCAGGCTTATTTGCTGAGTGGAGAGATTGCTGCACCGTGTTCTCACATGGGTTTTCCACAGCGTTGGTACAGTTTCACAGTCACACCAGCAGTGCATAAGGGTTCCAATCTCTCCACAGCCTCTCCAGCACTTGTTATTTTCCAATCTTCTAAACTTTGCTATCAATGTCGGTGTAAGGTAGTATCTTATCTTTGTTGTGATTTCCATCTCTTAAATGCATAAAGATTGTGAACATTTATGCATATATCTGTGGGCCATCTGGAAGTCATTTTTTGTGAACTGCCTAGTCATGTCATCTGCACATTTAAAATATTGGATTATTCTCATTTTTCTTGTTGGCCATTGGTTTATGTATCCAAATACATGGTATTTTGTAGCAGATTTGCTCAATGCAATAATTCGTTTCTTAACTGCTGCTTTCATGAGCATTGATTGTGGGTCCAAGCAATCGGAAATCCTTGATGGTTTCAGTTTTTTCTCCATCGATCATGATGTCATCTATTGTTGCAGTTGTGAGGATTTTTTTTTCCTTTGCATGGAGTTGTAATCCACACTGAATGCTGTACCATCATCAGTAAAGGCTTCATGTCCTCTGGGCTTTCAGCAAGCAAAGCTCTGTGAGCTGCAGATCACATCCGGGTGTTAATGAATGTACCTCCAATCCTGATGTCATGTCATTCATATAATCCAGCTTCTGGTTTTATTTGCTCAGCAGACAGATAGATAAGTATGTTGAGAAGATATTTCTCTGTTGCACACCTTTCTTGATTGTAAGCCTTGGGAGTCCTCTGGATTAGCTGTCTCCTGCAGCTCTAAAGCTGTGGGATCCATGAGTTTGTGTCAGAACCCACTCCAAGGAAATGGGTTTGTGTATTTTACCTATTATATTTTATATTATATTTCACTTTTAATCTTTATCTTATAGAATTGAGATTTTTATCATACTGTTGTGCTTTACCATTCCCTTCCGGGTTTATTTTTATAACTTGAATGGTTATGCGAACTCTATCAAGAAGATGTGCCTTTGTGTCAAATTTTGGTAATGAACACAATATTTCAAACTTTTTCCTAATGTCGTTGTACACTTATGAGACCTCTGTATAACATAAATAGAATATTGACAAAATTCAAAGTTGTGTAATTTCCTTCATTGCAATATTCATTTAATTGTGGTTGCCTGGTACCTAGCCTGTAGTATCTCTGAGGACAATTTGTCCACAGAATGACTTCATTTTTAATATCACATGTCTTATATTATTTAAAATAATTATACATATATATGTATAATTATTTTAAATAATTAAATATATATATTTGTCTGGCACTGCTGCTTCAATCAGGTCTTTCTTTATTCAAAATAAGCTGTCCAAAAAGACAACTTGCATGGAGTAAAATGGAAGGGTTTATGCAGCAGGCTTTTTTTTGTCTGTGGCAGGTTTCTTGTTATCCGCAGTCTTTTTTCCCACCAGGCTTCTTTGGCTTCTTCATGACAGCTGCTTTCTTTTCTCCTTTCTTCTCTACCTGGGCTTCTTGTTGGAAACTCCCTGCTCATCTGAATTGACCTAGGTCACCCTCAGCTTGTGATACTGTGCCTGCCTAAGAATGGAGCTCCTACTGCGTACGATCTTTGCATAGGAATTGAGCTTGAACATGATTCTCAGGTTTTTTAGTGGGTTCTTCTTCAGGACTCCACAAAAAATTTTCTTGTGTGGTGCTCAGAGGGTTTTTTGGATCTCAGAGCTTTTCAAGACTCTGCCGCCAAGTTCTATGTTGATCACCTTGTGCAAGGGGGGTGGGAGGTGGGGGGTTGTAGCTACTCTTCAGAGAGCCATACAGCTCACCCAACCAGCAAATCCACCTTCAGTCCAATGCAGAAACGCACTCCAAGCCCACCAGCAGCAACCTTCAACGTGTTTGGTTTGCTGAGATTGAGCAGAGTAATTCCAGAGATGTTCCTGAAGGCCTTGATGATACCCTGGTCTTCATTGTAAATGAAGTACTGTCCCCTGGCTGCATCTGCTGACCAGCTCTCATTTTGCCCTTGCTGGTTTGTTGTTCCTGGTTTCTAAGGCAGTCAGGACCATGCCCCACACTGAACAGGTATAATGAGAAGCTTTATCAAAAGCAGGCGACCAGGAGTCAGTTATCGCTGAAAGTCTCTGAGCCTGAGCGAACTCAAATTCCAATTTATAAAACAGCAAACCGTGAGCAGGTGGGATGACTTTTGCAGACACTGACTAGGGGGCTGGGAGGAATGTTAAAAACTAGGGAACTTCTCACCGGTGTTCGTGATGGGTGTGGGCAGCAGCCGCCAACATTTTGAATCCAGTGATTCTGTACTGGAAAACTAATTGCGGAAATAGAAAGCATAAGCCATGGAAAACTCCAGAAGGCATAGTCAGCAGGTGAGTGAATGAGCCATAGGGTACTCTGGGCTCTCATTTACTCAGAGCTGCTCGGTATCCTTCCAGGCCTTTCCTTTCGTAAGAAGCAAAGCCACCTCCTTGGTCTTCTTGCAGCCCTCTACTTTGTCTTCCACTCTCAAAGGAGGTTCAAGAACTCCCTCAGGATGATGACCTTTAGACGTGAGCAGCACAGGCAAGGCAGAGGCAGCCACTTCAGAGTAGACGGCACAGCGCTTCTCAGTGGGGTTTACCCTCCACTGCCAATGGCGCCAGGTATTGGTGGTGCAAACATGCGACCTCCACGACATCTATTTCCAAAAGCACGTTGGCCCCAATGGTGCGTGCACCTGCCACCCAACTCGGGGCATCCTTGCCATGGCTAGGCGGGGCTCTGCACAGTCTGATGAGCCACCAATTCGTTGACAGCTGACGGCTGCCCGTTGTTCTTGGTAGGTTAGTGTGAGCAAAATTCACGATATCCGGTTGGAGGGGCACCTTGAACACAGCTGGCAACGTTTACATGGTTGCCAGCGGATTCACTCTTTTCGGAGTCCACTGATCTCAGAGAGAAGGCCATGCCCCTCTCCACCGGGCGGCTCTCGCAGGCAAAGGACAAAAATTAGGTATCCTTTTGATCCCATCATGAAAACACAGTTCTCAAAATATAACAGGATCACGGGTTAAATCACAAGACATTTTTATCTACTTAGATTCATTCTTAATGATATTGTATGCTGTCAAATCAGTTCTGAAGCACGGCCACTTTGTAGGACATGGTAACATTGATCTCATGGGGTTTCCAAAAGTGTAAATCTTTAGGGAAGCAGACTGACTGACGGGCTGACTGACATGTCTTTTCCCACAGAGCAGTTTGTGGATTCCACTGGCAACCTTTTGCTGGACAACCCAGTGCTCAACACTGGGACTCAGGGCTCCTTAGTATCACGGGGACCACCGATATTCAGATGTAACACCGATATTCAGACGTAACAGCAGCAGCTTTGGTTACTTTTCTCTTGTTGTTACAGTTGGCCTACATGGTTCTAAGTCACCTGTATGTAGGCTGGCCTTTAAATTAACTAAATATTGATACTTAGAATTGGAATTAAAAAGTAGAAAATTACATTAACTTTTACTTGGCCTTGAACTTTTTACTGCTTTTATTAATTTGAAACTGGTTGTTTTCATTGTCAGAGAGACCTGGGTAAGTGTCAGGCTGCTCTCCAGCAGCTGCCGCATGAGAGAAAGATGGTCTTTCCACCCTGTGAAGGGTTCCAATCTGGGAAACGCACAGGGGCAGTTCTACCCTGTCTTGCAGGGTCGCTATGAGTTGACAGCAGTGAATGTCTTCATTGAGATTGGTCAAAAACATCCTCAAGACATAATCCAAAAAAAAACACCCCAAAATCAAACAAACCCACTGCCATGTAGTTGCTTCTGACTCATAGTGACCCTACAAGATATCAAAAGGTATGTCTCTCTTCAATATAGAAGAGAAAGTATATTCCATAATAAATCTCCATTGAGTAACCATAATTTGTGTGTGGGTAAATCAGAGTCATTGCTATTGATGTCTGAGGGCACTATCCAGCAGATTTGGACTCACATAGACCTCAGATGACAGGGGAGACCTCCTCCATAGAGTTTCCATCGAGGTACTCTTGATGGATGTCACGGACAGTGAGTCTGAACCAGCACACTTCAGTAGCATCAGCTGCGCACTAACCATCTCAGCCTCAGGGTTCACATGACCAATTTGGAAAGTCCAATGCAATTAAAAGATAAAGACGAAAGAGCTCTCCCACCTAAATCTCCCAAACTAGATCCCATAGAGATCTCTTAATTAGGTCCTTTGCTTCACTGGCAAGGCAATTTGAGCTTGTGCTAATTTTATTCATTTTCATATGGACCAAAACTTGACAATCAGACTGGAAAAATCCATCAAAAGCATAACAATTCTTCAATTAAATAGGAAACAAAAATGATTAATCTTATAAGTATATAAATATGGTCTAACTGTAATAAAAGTAAATACAAATATTATTCTCAAGTATATTATAGAGATGTGATCTACCCAAATTGCCTCTGGGCAATGACTTAACTATTTTAAAAGTTCTGTCCCTTGTTTTACTTGATTGTGCTGAGTGATTAGTTTGGTATTTAGAATTGTTTTCATATCTCTGTTTTTGTTTCCTTATGTAGCCATAATATAAAGCAATTTCCAGTTGCTGGCATTACACACCTAAGGAGTATGTACAAAGGGCAGAAAATACTTCTTCTCTTACACCAACATAATGGGATAGACAACTACAGTTGTCCCCAACAATCTGAGTGCTTACAAGAAAATATGTTACAGTTTATAATCATGAAAAAGAAGACAGCTGATATCTAAACCAAGTAAATAATATTCTTCCTTTGAATTCAGCTAATTTTCAGAAGTGCCAGATATTGCATGGGTGGTCAAGGCTAGTCTAAGACATACATGTTTTGATCAGCTCTGATCACATACTGTGCTATTAAATAGAATTATATCTAGATAAAAATTATATAACAAAGTTTTCAGATACGTGTGCTTTATATTCCAAAAGATCCAAAAATCAATGATTTTGATTTTTCCTTAAGCCCTTTAATAAAAAAGATAGCCTTTTAAATTAAAAACTTAATAAAGGAATCAAATAACCTTTTCTGTTACAGAGATGGGAGTCAATTTTATATGAAAGAAAAAGTTTGTGTCTATCTTTAAAATATCATGTCTCCTCTTTGTCTTTAATAAAGAACTAATAAAATCTAAAAAAAGAAAAAAATCTCCAGGCACTAATTCTTATCAGAACTTCGAATGATGAATATTTGGGATCAAGTCAAAAGAAGAACAGAAAGTTTTGAAAGAGAATGTCACTCGGGTTCTAGTAAAGCACAACAGCGTCAGGATTCCTGAGACTGATCAAAGACACGGGCACAGGCTCACAAAGCTTTAGTTGTTTGCTTCTTTGGCAAACAGGGCAGGCCCACCGCCTTCCACATGTCCAGGCCCTGGTACACCATGCTGATGACTCAGCTTCCAGAACTGATGAAGCAGCAGCTGGCCTGTCTTTCCACCTGCGATAAAACCAACACTTTGCCTCCTGTTCCCTGGCAAAAGCTGCAGTCTGCAAACTTATCAGTTATTTCATGTTCCCAACCCTGTCCTTCCCTCCTGTCTGGGAACAGATTGGCTGATGTGTTAATGCTTCTTCATATACCCTCTAATAATTGTAAAATGTCCCTTTGTGTATTCCTGTCATGTGTTGCAGGCTACGTGCAGGAAGGGTATTTAAACCTGCCTGGAATGAAGTTCCCGGCTCTGGAGTGACTATTCTGAGTCCCTTGCACCTCAGCTGCGTCTTTCCGTTTCTATGAGTTTTCTCTTTGTAGATCGCGCGTTCTCAAATCAGTTTGATTTGTAAGTTAAAAGCTAACTCTATAGTATCTTTCAGTGGTGTAGGATAATGGAACTAAGCACGGTATCCTGGGAAAGCTAACAGCTTTATCTTTTGCCCTTGAACTGATTAGGTTTGAACATCCAAACCTGTGGTGAGCAGCTCGAATCCTAAGCCACAGTCCCACCAGGGCTCCTTTCTCATGACGCCAAGACCACTTCTCATTTGCAGGGATTTTTGAATTTCACTTATGCTCTCAGGGATTTTGCGTTTTCACTAAGATCTTTGCACTATGTGTCCTACTTCCACTACATTCTGAAGTGAGAATAATGGAGACAACAATATATTTGAGAAATGGCCATAGTACAAATATAATATTTAATATGAAAGATTTCAAGACAGTAATCAATTAAAATCTGTGTTTTCCAAAGCACAGAGAAAAAAATATATATCATTTTAAAATATATCCAAGATATTTCATGTTTTATTAATCAGCAAATGTACACTACCTTGTCATGATTTAAAACAAGAAGAGTTACACAAAGGAGCCCTGATTGTACAATGGTTAAAGTGCTATGAACTAGAATTTACTTTCAAGATATATTCACGTGATTGGCTAAGCTTGGGTCCAGTTTCCACACTTAGAATATTAATAACTAACAGTTGAAGGACTACAAAATGTAAGTTCAGGTGTGGCCTGCCCAAAGGGCAGGATGGGAGGGCAATTGAATCCATTTGGAGAAAAGCTGTGACTGAAAAGGTATGGAATTGTCAAATACGTCTTTCATAAGAAGACTGTACTTTCCCAGCATGTGAACTGGGAATACTAGCAATACTAGTCCTTCTACCACGAATATACCTTTGTAAACATAGCCTTCCACATTGCCATAAACTGTCACAATTTCAAGCATGTGAGATTCTGTTAATAGCCTTACAACCTCAGCAATTTTCAAAATATCCCACAATATAGCTGGCAACATGGCAAAAGCCTGAGTTTCAAGTTGGGAAAATACAATGTTAAATATTGATAACTTTTCAATATGCTATACACTATGTCATTGTTTATGGAAATGATTATATTGTCCAAGAACAAAAGCAGAGTCATGAGATTAATAATCTCAGCATCCTGTTCATTTTAGAGTAGGCCAGCAACACATCATACCTGTGGGTCTCTGTAAATTCTTTTGTACTAAAATTCTTCTCAGAGTCCCATCCATAGCTGCTTCTTCTATGTGGGAGTGATCTCCAACGACAGTCCAGTACATCATCCTGAAGAAAATAGGTCAAAGATGTCAGTCTGTTCATATGGGTTACAGTCTCAGAAACTCACAAGAACACTTCTATCCTGTCCTATAGGCTTGTCATGAATCAGAATGGACTGAAAGTATAACACAAAGTCTTATAACTGTGTGCCTTATAACACAAGTCCTGGACAGAACTTTAAATGCAAAGAATGATGGAAGAACCCAGGCCTTTGTGGGAAACTGAGGACCTGGAAGAAAGTATACACGATCTACTCCCAACACTCCTGACCAAAGGGTGTGGCGCACTAGCACGTGTGTGAGGCACATTTCCACAGCCCCTGGACAATGGGTAGCACCCAAGCACACATTTCAGGAAGGGTGTTTGCTTCACATATATCCCCCATTAAAGTGCTAATATAAAGCTGTCTCCTGCAGGTGCCTGGCTGTTAGAGGAAGCTTATCTTTAAGAGCAGTCAGCGTCTTTTGTCCCTCAGTCTTAAGGAGTGATTCACACCTTTGTCTCTTAAATATCTGGCACTTACTGTGAAGTGTTCCCCTTGAGAGCGCAGGCTATCCAAGATTAACACATTGCTCATGTCAAGGTGTGTGTATTAACAAAAGGCTTGCAGACCTCATGATTATAAAACCCTATTGTTAAATAAACTCAACCCCACTTCTCCAATAAGGGACAGGATACCCCAGTGTTTCTACTTCCGCTCTTTCTTCCGTAATTGTCCCATTGCTGAGGACCCCATTCCACAGAATTGATATTTAAAGGAATTCTATACTTTGACCACTGAATTTTAACTACTGCTTAAAGTTTATTTCTTAAGATAAACAACTATTACTTTAGGCAAACAATAGCTTATTATTGGATACCCAAAATTCAATTTTTGAAATGCCATTAAATTATAGAAGAAAAATATTTCTACCACATGAAGCTATCCACAGGCTGTAGCAGAACATTCCTTCTATTCTGAATGTTACGTCAAATAAAAATGCTGTCCTTTTTGTTTTGTAGAGATAATTATTATTAAACTTTATTAAACAGAAATCATTCTCTCTTTAGAAGAAAGCACACTGAATAAGTGCAATAAAAAAATAAACCTTTTTTGGTTTGTTTGTATTTTACTCAAACTCTATGGAAAACAAGGAAAAGTTTTTCTTTTAAACATTTCCTTACTTCCTTTTTGATTATTGCTTATATTTTATTGCTTTATGGAAAAGTAAAAACATTTTTGCATCAAATTTGCTTACATGCATTTTTATTACAAACTATCCAAAATATCAATACTCTACATTTACATGTTTATCAATATGGTTATGATCTTGAAAATGCAATATTAAATTTCAAATAGTGGGTAGGTATTCATCACATCCATTTCAATAGTTTCCAGCAGGCACATACACCCATCCACTCTCACAGATAATACAACCAACTATCTAGGAAAAGTTCAAAATAGACCACCATTTTAAGTAAGACAGACATGCTTTTATACAGAAGAAAAGATACAAGGAGTTTTAGAAACATTGTGACTATGTGCTGAAATGTATTAAAGAAAAAACAACCATACTTATAAGGAGGGATACTCATCTCAAAAAATATAACTATCAAGCCATTAACTTACGCTCTTTTAGGATTTACAGCAATGGCATAGGGTTCTCCAGCCATGTTTGTTAAAAGCCGGGTACAGTTGGGGCCATTCAGCTGTCCGACATTGACGGAGTATCTCAGACTCGTCCAGTGAGTTGTGTAGTAACTGAACCAGTGCATTCTAGAATGATCGGTCCAGTAAATATTTCCAGCAACCCAGTCAACTGCAATGTCCCTGGGTCTTTTAAATTCAGGGCACTAAAAGAAAGCAAAATATTAAAAGCCAAATTAATGGAGGTTTTTGTGTGAACATATTGATATTTGAAGAGAAACATCCTCTATGAAAGCAGTCAGATGTTGCTTATTATTTAGAATTCCTAAAAGCATACATACTTTAATTTATTCTTGTTCCTTTGTGGATGAATAATGTCATAGCTCTTACAAATACAGCTCACTGGAATTGTTCTTAAGAATTCCCATTTAACCACACCACTGCTAGGATAGGTCCTGAATTCCAGAAGTACCTCCAGTGACCTTTCCTAATTAATGTTCCCCTGAGAAGAAAGTCCTGATAATCTACTTCTGGAAAACTAGGCATTGTATCAGAAGTTTCAACTTTTTTTTTTTTTTTAAATACTTTTATTGGGGGCTTTTAGATCTCTTATCACAATCCATCCATTCATCTAGCATGTCAGAGTTTCAACTTCTGAGCACTGTTTTCAGGAGCCTAATGTTTACAGTGGAAACTCAAAGTCCATACATACGTTTCCATATAAAGCAGTCTCTATTAAATTCCTTCTGTTAACAGGCATCATGAATAGGGTTGCTCTTGTGCAGAATGCATTAAGACTGTGATGGCTTGTTGTCACTACCCCAGCCCTTCCAAGAAGAATAGGCATAGCCTTTGGGGACATGCCGGGTGTGCCTTTAATGGGAATTGTTGTGCTAGAGTCTCTTGGTCAGAAGGATCTGACTCTTGATCAGAAGGACCTGAACATAAGACACTTGCCCCAATCATAGTGCTGCTACTGCTTCAGTAAATGATGTATTAATCTGCCATCAATCACATTTTTATGATAGTTATCTTTTCCCTCCCAAGTCCTTGTTAAGTGTTCAATTATATGAAAACATTAGAAGCCATTACAACCCTATGCTAATGGTCTCTCACATCCAGATACAAGGTCTTTGTCTTGTCTTTTCCTGTTTAAAATATATGTTCTCCTTAAATTATATTTGATATTTGGGGCTTCCTCCACCTTAAAACACTCTGCAAAACACCTGAGGTCACCGTGGATTCTAACTGACTGGAAATGGTTGGATTGGTTAGATTTAGGGTATACATGTGTTTCATTAGATACAGCTATAAGTATTTTTCAGAGTTTGGACCAGTATACTTTCTCTTCAGTTATGTAACTATGTCCCAGTTGCTCTGTATTTTCTTATCATGTGTATTAAATTATATATATACAGGTGACAGGTAGCCAGACAGGAATAGGGTGTGTACCTCCCATGCCTGCAAAGGACAACTACAAGAGGATGGGAAGAAAAAAAATCAGGCAACCATTAGCCACCTATAAAGACCTTAACTGGGCATGCTCCAATTGAGCATCCCCTCCCGGTCCCCCACAGTCAGGTGGGCAATACACCTGGGCAGCCCAAACAAGGCCTGGGCTCTTGACCCCATTCATGTGGGCTTAACTCAGCCAGTGGGATCCACCAAGACCTTCCACCACACCTCTCCAGCCAGAGATTTGAAATCCCCTGGCAGCGGGATGGCCACCTCTTTGACCCATTCCTGGTCAGTGGCAGGCGAGAGAGGATTCTCTCCTGTCTTTGACCCTGCTCCTGCGCCGCTCAGCCATGCTGTGGTCTCTCTGGCCTCAGTTCACCATGTGTTGGCGCACAGTCCCCAAAGGTTGCCTGTGTTCATTTGGAGCCCCAGCTCGGCTTACGCGTGGTTTGGCATGCTTCCCTGAAATAGCGTGCATTCTTATTTTTTTTAGCATGTACTACTCTTTTGAGACTGTAAAACCTGAAACTTCTCCCATCCTTCAAAATAACCCACTTGGAGTACAAACCAGGCTTCAGAGTGAATTCTTTCTTGTGTGAAGCCAAGAACTGAGGTACAGTATTACCCACTTGAGAAACCTAGTACAGGTAGTAGCTGGGTTGACAGTGAATTTAATGTGGTTCTTCTAGGCAAACACTCTAACTCCCACCAATTACCTCTTCCTGCACAGGTCTGGTAAGAAGGTGAGGGAAGCTACTGAGAATTTGCCTGTGAGTAATTATGAACAGAACTCCTTTCAATGCCATCGTGATGCTTATAAAATGATCCCTCTGAGAAGCAGGGGGTGGGGCCTTATTACCAGCAAAGCAAGGAATGACACTTCTCCTCTGGACTGGAGATCTATGTGCAGTGAAGCTCCTGCATCCAAAAGACAGCTAAGAAAAGTGTAATCTTTAAACATCTTCTAAGAAATATTATAGTGTCATCCATTTATATTACATCAGAGAAGGTGGATTGTATGCCAGGGAATCCAGCCCCTAGCACAACATTATGGGTCCAGTAGGTGCAATTGTACAGTGATAATAAGTAAAGATTATAGTAAAGTTATTGAGAACATGAGAGGTAAAAGAGATATTGAAATAATAGTCAGGCACATTTCATAGTAGCATGCTCACCTCAGCCCTGCTTGGTGGTCCACGTGGAGAGGTGGAGAGAGAGAGAGATTTAATGCCAACCAAGGCTTTTATATTCTCTGGGGACATGCAAGCCCCCTAATTACAGGTGAAGACATACATCACAGGAAGGGGTTGTGCTATAGGTAACACTAATGACAGAGGGTGGTCTAGGGACATACACGCAATAGGAAGAGGAGGGATTGGGGGTATACATGTGGCAAGATGGGCAGATCCTAGATACAGGATGGCAGCCTAACTTTGGATGTCACAGAGCCAGTTTGACTTGTTCCCTGACTCAACTGATAGAGACCATTATCGATCGGGTGTGAACTCCACCTACAGGAACCAAATCAATGACTGCGGGCCTGTCCATTGTCCTTAACAGGAGGGAGCAGGGCCTACAGTAGTCTGGTGACTGGCTGTCTTCAGGGAGGATGTCTGTAAGCATCTGACCTCCCCCCACAATTGTAAGCTAAATATACAATTTTACTGAATTATTTTGAGATGTTGATTGTCCATTTGTGTTGTAGGTGCCACCAGGTCAGTGCCCATCAATAGCTCCCCTATGCACTAAAGAACAAACCACTGCCCCTCCTCCTCCCTGATCTTATGCTTGAGCTCTCCTTGAAGGTCTTCCTCCACTTTACCAAGCATGATGTCCTTCTCCAGGGACTTGTCTCTCCCAACAAAAGTCTAAAGAATATAAGATGAAATTTGGTCATCTTTACCTCTCAGAAGCACTCTAACTTTACTTCTTCAAGACAGATTGGTTTGTCCTTTTAGCAGTCCAAGGTATGTTCCATATTCTTCAGCAGCACCACAATTCAAAGACATCAATTTTTCTTTGATCTTCCTTATTCCATGTCCAATTTTCACATGCATATGAAGCAATAGAAAATACCATGACTTGGGTCAGGCAAACCTTAGTCCCAAAAGTAATACCCAAGCTTTTAAAAACTCGAAAGAAGTCCTGTGCAGCAGATTTACCCAATGCAACTCATATTTGTGCTCTTGATTGCTAAATCCATGATCATTGATTGTGAACCCAAGTAAGACAAAATCCTTGACAACCTCAACCTTTTCTCTGTGTATCACAATGCTACCTATTGCTCCAATTGTGAAGAATTTGGTTTTCTTTGCATTGGGTTGTCATCCATACAGAAGGCTGCAATCCTTGATCTTCATCAAAT